GCGGACGCTTCCCAGAGCGGTCTCTACTGCCGCAGCCTCCGAGGGAGCGGTGAGGGGAGGCCGAGAGGATTCGGGGCGCGAGAGGGGGACGAGAGACTTCGTGAGAAGACCGCACCTCGTGCGGGGCGCGGTATCGCGCTGTGGGCTGTGTGACAGCGGCTGTCAGTCGCCCCGCGGTCGAGAAACCGAGTCATTCTGAGGGTCGGGCGTCGCTTCTGGCGCATAATGGAGGCGTCGGGCTGCCTGCTCCTGTTCCCCTGGGAAGGAATCGCTTTCTCAGGCGCAGGCTGCCCGGGACCCCCGGACAACCGGCGGGTCCGCGCCCCGACTGGTGACTTCCCGGTGGTCTTTCGCAGTTTAGCAGACCCGCTTGCAGCCGAGTAGCTGGCGCTAACCTATATCGCCTGCCCTGCCCTGCCTGTCGCCCGGGGAGAGCCTGCGGCGTCGGATAATCCTTTCCCTCCTCCGGCCCCCTAAGGAGCTTTGAACCAGCCTTGTTAACCTTTCCTCCCACCTCCTCTCCTTTCAGCCCCAAAACACTGCCTTGAAGTTTCCCAGTCAGCTCCCTTCCCACGTAATGACAAATCTTGAAGCAGGAAGCTGATAAACAACCCCAAACCAAAATACGCTGAAAATGTTTCCTTTCGGTAAACATAAATTAAACGGGAAATTCATCGTAACCAAACCGTTCCTGGACTAACAGTGCTTAAAAGCCTGTCTTGCTTTGCCACGAAAATCGGTAGCTTTTCCTTTTCGCTTTTTGGTAAAATTTTGTGACGTCTTATATTGTAGAATCATTCACCCGCTGAGCTTCCTTTTTTTTTTTTCCTCACCAGCCCACCCCCACTCCAGCCAAAACCTGGCAAGGAGGGACTTGTGCATGTTGCAGTCCTTGCAGCAGAAGGAAACCTCAGCTTCATTTGCTTTGCTTTGCTTGGTCACAGGGCTGCCTCTGAAGAAAGGAGAATGGCGTTCAGCAAAGGATTTCGGATCTATCACAAATTGGATCCCCCACCTTTCAGCCTTATAGTGGAAACTAGGCATAAAGAAGAATGTCTCATGTTCGAGTCTGGGGCTGTGGCTGTGCTGTGTAAGTCATTTGTTATTACCCAGCTGGTCGTGGTTTGTTTTTATTTGAAATTCTCAAATGCAGCAGTGTTTTGTTTTAAGAGTCAGCCTTTTCACTATATGCCTTCTAGAAGATTATGCTTTTATTTTCTTTAATTACACTTTATTTTCCCTTAAACTTTTTCTTAGCAGGTGTTTGTGGAGATGCAGGTTTTGGTTACAGGACTTTGTTTCCTTGGATTCTTCTGCTTCTACTTCTAAAAGAATTTGTGTGTGGGGGGGGTGTTGTATAGGGCATTGAACTCAGGACCTTGTGCTTGGAGGCAGGCATGGTGCCACTGAGCTAAATCCCAGGCTAGAAAAGAGTATTTTTTATCAAACAGATATTTTGCAGTTTATGTCCTATCGCATAAACTCATAAAATGGTTTACTTGACATTTTTATTATAATTAACAGAATTGCTTGGAGACCAATTACAACAGCATCTAATACTGTTGGAGTATCTTATGTTAAGCTTTTATATATTTTTTTTCTTATTTGTTTATTTATTTTGTGGTGCTGAGGACTGAATCCAGGGCCTCTCACATGCCAGACTCCAAACACTGAGCTACTTCCCCCGCCCAGGCCCTTACTTTTTTTTTGGATACTGGAGATGGAACTTGGACCTTCTGCTTGCAAGGCAGGTGCTGGCACCACTGAACTAAATCCCTGGCCCTCCTTAGGTTTTCATTAAGAGAATTATCAAGAACTTCTAGAATTTCATGTGAGATACATTATTATTTTCATATTACTTAAAAATTATTTTGGTAGTCTTTTTTTGAAAAGGATTACCTTTTGCAGCACAAGAAAAATAGATTAGTAAGGTTTGTGTTACTTTGTGATAGATGACTATGTTTATTCATTTAAGTTATTGCTCATATTTTTAGAAGTTCAGAATAGTGTTTGAAAGGCTTACAATTGCAAGTCCTTAAATATTTTAATGTTAAACTTTCTCCAGATTTAATAAGTAAAGAATATAAGACCCTTATCTTTGCATGTAGAATATTAATGTAGGTTAAAGTGTAACCTTATTAAAATATAATTTTATCCTAATGGAGAAAAGGGTAGTGGGATAATAAAATATCTTAAAGAACAGTATATAAGAAATATATATTTTTTGATACATAAAGCAACATGGTTTGAAAGACAAGGGGTTATGTAACTTCTAATAAATAGGCATAAGTAGTTTTAGTTATTCTCCATCAATGTAGATTTAATTGCTCCAAATATTTAAACTGAAAATACCATGTTACAATATTAGTGTACATACCATACTTTTTTTATACTGTAGGTATAATTCTTTTACCAATCAATTCTTAAACATATGGGGTGGAAAGTTCTCATACAAGAAACAGTTTTCAGCTATTTATCCCCCCCACCCCTACTAGGGATTGAACTCAGGACCTTGTGCTTGCTAGGCTGTCGTGGTGCCACTGAGCTAAATCTCTGGCCCTAGCTTACATTTTTTTGATGACATCAGATTCATTCATCTTGTTGAAATTCTGATATTTCTTTGTATGGTTACTCAGTAACTTGTAAGTCATTATTTAGCTACAAAGTACATATTACCTATTGTTTTTAGGATTATTTCCCCATGGGTGAGGAAACCTAAGAGTAATCATACTTTGAAATTTCAGGCAGCCATCTTTTATGCCAAATGATATTTTTTTAAGGGTTCTAAAACATCCTTTTTGGCATTAATACTCCATATGAGGAAGAACAGTATTAATTCATGTTTCCTGAGTGACTGATTTTTATATTTGCTGTGGTGGAAATTGAACCCATGCATGCTAGGCAAGTGCTCTGCCACTGAGGTATATCCCCAGCTCTTACTTTAACCTCATATCCTATTTATCTTCATTAGATTTAGGCCATGTAATTTTCTCAGGATAAAAAAGTTTGAATATTGCTTCTCTGTGACACTATCATAAAATGGATGTTTAATCTCTTGTGTTATCTTTCCTACTATGAATTTTACAGTAATATTTAAAATATGTTTTAAAATTTAAATTTAGCTTTTAACATACATAAAAACATAGAAGATGTATATTTATGGTGTACCATGTGATTGATAGTTTGATATATGTATATGTTGTATAATGCTTAAATGTATCTTCTCAAATGTCATTTGTTTATGGTGAAAACATGCAAAATCCTTTCTTTTTACTTTGACATATACAGAATTTTATTTATAGGCAGACTATGTTGCAGTAATAAAATACTGATATTTAAGAGCTAGCAGTACATTTTTATAATGTGACTAAAATATTTGGCACAGTTTGAGAGATATTAAGTTGTTGTATATTGTACTGTACAGTATTTTTTTAAACCTTCCCAGTTTCTAAATACTTTTTGTATTCAGGGAACTGTACTTGAAAGAACTTGATATATTCTTTTTATCTATAGCTGTCAGCCCCCTGAATTTCAGTACATCCTTCATATGAATCTACCAGAAGAATCTTCTAAAATAATTTTTGATATTAAACCAAAGTGTAACCCAGTTTTTCAGTAAGACTGAGTTGAAACTCCTCAGCCTGTCAGTCAGGGCTTTCTCTAATGGCCCAGCTCTTGGTCCAGTTCATCTTACAAAATGAACACTTTTTATGTAGCTTTCTTTGTTTGTTTGGGTTTTGAGACAAGGTCTTGCTGTGTAGTCCAGGCAGGCTTTAAACTTACTATGTAACCCAGGTTGGCCTCTTGATCCACCTTCCTCAGCCTCCCAAATGCTAGGATTACAGGTGTGCACCTGTGTTTCTCTTAAAAACAAATGGTGAAAATGGCTCTTGCGGGACTTGGTATTTCATGTACCCAAAGTATATAATTTCAGCCATCTGTAGTTGTCTAGGTTGAAAAGTAAAGTTTTAAAACTCAAGCATTTTTAGTCAATGCATGGTATTTAGGATTGTCATTATTTTTCTTGGTTTATGACAGAAGTGCCATGAGATAGCAAACAGGAAACCTTATCTTTCATTTTATTAGCACATAGGAAGAAATAGGTTGCAAGTGAAAATAGTTTCAGACTTTTTCATCTCTTTGGGACCAATTGTCCATAGGGACTACTCCTAATTTAGAACTTCCTTTAAAGTCCATTGATAGGATTCCAAGCTCAAGTCTGTCCTAATGCTATGACTTAATCAGAGCACCAGTGGTTTTCAATCGTGGCTGTACGTTATAACCTTGGGGAGTTTCCACAAATATTGGTGCCTGGGCGGCATCTTCCTAAAAATTCTGATATAATTAGATTGGGATGATAATTTCTGAGCAAAGTTTATATAGTCCTTGCTATGGTAGTTTAGGGGATTACTTCTTTGGCTTGCAGATTTTATTCAGAGTAACCATGTTTCTACGATGTTATGTCATTATTGCCTCTAATGGGACTCGTACATAGTTTTCTTGAAACCTTCAGGCTAAAACAAGGAGTGCTCCCGTAGTGTTCTTGATATATTGTTTTCCTATGAGAGGGAATTGTGTTCATGTTTCTGTGTCTGAATACTGGCTCCTTGAAGAAAAGGCCTGTGTCTCAGTAATGTGGCTGGATACTTAACTGTATCCCTACAGCTTGGTATAGTATTTGAAGAATAGTTATTAAATGAATGACAGTAGGAGGAAAGACTAAATCTAAATGAGACTAAAAAGTTGACAAACTTGCAGTTACTATATGTTTAAAAACAGTATCATTCATTCATTCATCCTGATTGCAGAGATTCCCAACTGCTAGGCAAGTGTTCTACCACTGAGCTACATCTCCAGTGCAGTTTGTGTTTTGTGTTTTTTTTTTTTTTTTGGTACTGAGGATTGAACTCAGGTCTTTGCTCTTGTGAGGCAGGCACTGGAATCACTGAGCTAAATCCTCGGCCCTCGATTTTATTTTTAATTAACACATAATAATTACAAATTCATGGAGTGCAAAGTGATGTTTTGATAATTATATATACAGTGTGTTAGGAACAAATAAAAATAATTAGGATATTCATAGCCCTAAACATTTACTGTTTTTTAATGGTGAGACACTCAAAGTCCCCTCTTCTAGCCATTTGGAAATGTGTAAGACATTATTATTGACTAGTCATTCTATTGTGTAATAAACTCCTAACTATAACTTTTACTCCTTGATCAACCTCTCTAAACACCCTCTTCCCTGCCCTCTCTCTGGTTCTTATTCTACTCTCTATTCTACTCTCTTACTCTACTCTCTATTTCTGTGACATTAACTTTTTAAGATTCTATATAGGAGTGAAATTATGCAGTACTTGTCTTTCTTTGCCTAGCTTATTTCACTTACCATAGAGTCTTCCAAGTCCATCCATTTGTTGCAAATGACATGATTTCATCTTTTATGGCTGAATAGTATTTTGTATATATGCTACGAAATAGGATATCTTTCTGTAGAAATTACTTTCTGTATTTTAAATAATTGATTAGAGCATAGTCTATGCGTATAGTCCCAGCTACTCTAGAGGCTAGGGAGAGTTACTGGAGCCTAGGACTTCAAGACCGGCCTTAGCAACATAGGAAGACCCTGTCTCAAAAACAAACCAACAAAAAAAGAAGTTATTTGACTAAATTGCCAATATAAAAGACACTATTATGTATCTATTACCCATTATTTTAAATTTGTTGCTGAATAATCTTATTGGAAATAACAATTGACCATAAGGTTTTTTTCAAAATGCCAATTAAAAATTTTTATGATGAATGTTATTTGTTCTATAAATACCATTAACATTTTTTTAGTTTTGGGGTTTTTTTTTTGTTTGTTTTTTTTGTTTTGTTTTGGTAGTGGCGATTGAACTCAGGTCCTTGTGCTTGAAAACCAGGCGCTGGAATCACTGAGCTAAATCCTGGGCCCTAAAATTACTTTTTTAAAAAAAGTAGAGAATAATTCCATCATTGGTTGTTTTTTGTTGCATTTATTTTTAAAACCCTACCTAAACATTTTTATTCTTAGATAATTGTTTTTTAGTGGTATACCCATTTTTTACA